ATATATCACAAATTAAAGACAAGGCATCTTCAGAAAACACTTAGCTGAGAAGACAATAAAGTTTTTATTAGTGTTCATTTCACTTGCTCCTGATTTTATACGCACTAATTCAAACAACTTAATTTAGTTTTATAAAAGACTTGTATATATACATTATGAATAAATAACAACAATTTGTACCTTTCATTATTGATATCAAGCCATCTTTTTGATTTAAGCATTCAAATCTATCTATTATTGGTAACAATAAGCCCGGCACACACTTGTGAAGAAGACGCTGGTTCACGCTCAACGGTTGTAATAGACATAACATATGTTAAGATCATATTGAGTGTTTACTACCCACTGATAGTACCTAGCGCGTTCTTATTTCTGACAAGTATGCATTTATTCAAACCTATTTATATGTGTCATGGGCTTACAAATTGCTTGTAAAGGATTTTAGCACTCTTATTGAAAAAAGTTGAAATTAAAGTATATACAATATATGTGAATCATGGAAGTTTTCTTTAATTTTCTTTTAAAAAATGAATTCAATTCAATAAACAATTTCATAGACAAAATTGTTTTAAATAAAATATTAAAGCAGTGGAAAATTTTTAAATAAAAACTAAAAAAGTAATCTGTTTTAAAAAACTCGCTTTAAATTAATATCGAAGCGATATACTTAAGCAAAAACTGTTTTTATCTTCCTAGTAATTTAAATATACTCGTATCAAAAATGTGGGTTTCATAGCAACATTCGAATATGTTTTCGAAAAACCACTCGCTATACGAGAACATAAGTTTCGTTTAAAATACGAATGGGGGTCAATACGATATTTAAAAGCCGGTTTTGACCTTCAGCACTACATAACAAAAAAATACAATAGTAAATAAAAATAAAATTAAAAAAATCATTTTGCAAATTTGTAGTTAATACCAAAACTTATTAAAATTTGCAAATAACATTCAATTTTATTTTAAAGAAAACTACGTACACTAATCAGCGCCTCGTGTATGTCACAAACATAATATATGAGATATGTTGTTCCGTACAAACTGATATATGGGTCATTAAGTAAATGTTGAAAGATTTGTGGTCGACCTTCATGTCTTATTTCAAGTAAATAAATATTGAAATTAATAAACTTTGTTAAAACTTCAACATGATTTTCCTTAATATAAATAAATTCATGTATAGATTTGTTTAACAATAAAGCACTCACCCAATAAAAAAATTTTTTGGTAATTCACCTTTTATAAATATTTTTTATTTTATTTTAATTTTTTTTTATTTTTTATTTTATTTTAATTTTTAATTTTTTATTTTATTTTAATTTTTTATTTTTTGTTTTATTTTAATTTTTTTTATTTTTTTTATTTTATATATAAATATATTTTAATTTATATTTTATTCATTTATTTTATTAGATTATTTTAATTTATATTTTATTCATTTATTTTATTAGATTATTTTATTTCATATATATTTGTTCTGTTTTTTAGATTTTTTTTTTTATTTTAAAATCTGTTTAATCCAATTAAGCAATAAACTGAACATTTTCTAGATTCAAGTAATGACTTCCGCACAATAAGTAGTAAAATAAATTTTATACTAATGATTGTTTCTATTGTTTGACTAATAAATAAAATTATAATCACACGTATGTGTTTGAAGTACATAATAATAATCACTAAAAGTTGCTAATGTAATATATGTTTGATACAGAATTTAAAAAACGCATGTTCTTTATATGTTTTTTTTTCGAACAGATTTTTAATATAAATATTTATAAAACACTGAATTTTAAGCTTTTATCTTTTGTAGGTCAGTTAAAACATCTTAAGATATACGAGACATATATATTTTTGTATGCATAATATTAAAAAAAAAATTTTACAAATCATTTAATTGAATTTTTTTTTTCTGTATTAACTATCGAAAACTGAAAGGTGAAAATTGATTTGTAGAAAGTTAAAAGAACATAAACACGCGACATTTGACACCAAACTATTCGAAGTAGAAAAATAAAATGCCATGAATACCAGGCCACAAAGAATGATATACTGTTCAATGGTTCACCACTGTATCCCCTCTTAATATTACAGTTTACCTATCCAATACTTTTCACTTGACATGCTCAACACGAATCATTGAAGTGGTTCAAACATTGAAACCATCCCACTGTGAAATAGACAATTGAGTTTTAATTATTTTGTAATATTGGTGATGGCAATATGGATTACTTGGTAAATAATTTGAAATTAATTATTACTGTTGGAATAATGCAGTGACGTCAATAAACTGCACTTTTACTATCAATAAGTGAACAGGTACAGAATTGAAAATTATGTGGTCGGTATCGTTATTTTTGTAACATTATTAAATTTTCCATTATATAAAAAGCAAACAAATTTTTGTGTATATTATGAAGTATATTTTATGTATATACAAATTAAAATTTATAAAAAATTTTTATTAAAAAAATATGT